CTGGTTAGGTATTACCGCCCGTCCCTTGCAACCAATGGTCAATTAAGATCAAACACTCCTTGACATATCGAACGTACTCCTAGTTAACCCTTGACATTCTTGATTCCTGGCCACTGGGTTTGTTGTATCCGAGATCCCCCATCGTAAAGGTATCACAGAAAAAGCACAAAACTTTCATGACATCATTACCACTTTTGGGTTTCGGTCCATGATGAGCTCTGGAATACTTATATTTTCCAACAAAAAAGACCTATTTATTATTGTGTAATTGCTATGACGTGACTATTTTAATCAAGTTTTCCGATGAAAAAAGAACGCGGAGATGGAGGTGGTGTTGCGGGAGAACTGAAGACGTTGGACTGATAAAAAGCTTTATTTTAAATATTATTAATTCACAGTGTTTTTGGACGTAATTGTCTTACTGAACTCTTGGGCGTGTTCGTTTATATCACTATTTTCGGACATTTTGGTGCTCCCTTTGTCTTTGGTTTGTTATTTGGGAGTTTTCCTCCAGGAACCTACAAAATTGAAGGTTTGTTTTGTAATTGTTATAATTATTGTTGTTAGAACGACTTTTGGTCGATTATTTGCGAATTGCGAATAAAATTGGTACCTGATTTGAAGTTTTGGTTCTCTTGCCTACTTGGATTCGTGATTTGCGAATATCGACGGCCAATACTTCAATAACTGGAACGGGCGAAAACTCGTACTTGGACGTAACAGGTGGTCGAGATTCTAGAAACATTACTATCAATGATTTACTGGCGTACCTCGATAAAAATCTGACTGCCTTTGAAAGCCGCATGGTCTTAAAACATTTTGTTCGTTTCTCATAAAAATATTATTGAATGAAAAATCGGATATGTTCCGAAATATAGGAAGTCAACTATGGGTGCAACCTTCAGTGATTTTAGTACAGCTTTTGAAAGGCTCGACATAAGAAACCGCCCTCTTAGTCAGTGATATCGCAACGGTTTTCTGTAAATTAACGATGTTTTTATTCAAATACCAAAAAAGACTACTTGTTAACTGCAAGTTGTATGACTAAAAGGCGTTGCTTGATGGAGCGATTCAAAGTACTGGTAGAATCTCTTGAACAACACCACCGCAAATGTGTCGCATTTGTAGAACTATGTTGTAAATATTTGGCCATGACTGAAGAACGTCTACATCAGAATTAAAATTGAGTGAATGACATAACTAGTCTCCTATCACTGTCAAAACATTATTACAACCTGAGGTCATTATGATGATTTGAGGAAACGAAAATGGACTGAATGGTTCAGAACCTCAAAATGACCCACAAAAGTCACCTGCGTTATATGGAATATGACAGTTCTAAATAATTATCTCAGTTTAATTGAGCTTCGTATCGGTCATCCAGGTGTACAAATATACTGAAGATGTGGTATTTAACATTCCGTTGTTCAGACACACTACCCTGAGTGCCGTGTGTCGGATTTCAGTAGAAGCGTTTATTCAAGGTTTAGCAAATGATGTACCAAAAAGAATTAAAACTACAAACTGAAGTGTCTACCTATGAGAGGAGCGAGACGTCAACAAATTACTGCTATAATGTGAACTGTATATAAAATAACAAAATTATCAAGGTTTTTTTGAAATAAACATGTCTTGTAAGCTCCTTCTGAGGTAATAACCACAAATGAGTCCACTTGGTTAACGGAAGCTCCTCCACACTACCATTATCCTCAATCACAAGCTGTGGCCAATGGAATAGAACAGCCGACATAGATGGCATTTACTTTAACAATCGATGTAGTGTATGTGTGTATATAACCAAAGATTTACATCCGTTACTTTACTACTGATACAGAAAACAATAGATATTGAATATAAATGTGGTTACACATAAAGTGACATGGGGAAAATGTGGTCTTTAAATGTATATATACTCACGAACAAAAATATTTTGTGTTAAAAATGTCTTTGTTCATTATTTTTGATGTATTTATAAATGTATATAAAAGGTTTGACAACAGTAATAAAATAAATAATAAGAATAATAACATGAAGTAAATTGATAGTTTTCCGGATATATTGTGAATTTATTTATAAATACTATGTAAACGATTAGTACTAAGGTGAACGAATACAACAAAGTTAAATGTCATCACACACTCAATGATGAATATCTTGCGAATCTAATATATACGGTAAGGATAACATAAGGTATTAATCAATGGCAGCAATACACACAAAATGTTTTATTTCTAAAAGTTGTTTGTGAAAAACGTTATTGGTATCTCTGCTATTGTGTAGGTATTTACCCGCACTACAAAAAATAAGGGGAGGAATATTAGGTAATGAATTCAACATAACGTTTGGGAATATGTACCTGTCTTCCTGTACGAGTGGTTTTCAAAGAAGGTAAAGTGGTGGAATTAGTAACTAAATTCGTGGAGGATGTAACTTTAGCATCATACATTGTAAGAGGTGTTGATTTCGCAGGAGTAGATGAAGAATTAGCTAGAAACGCATGAAGCTGTGTTTTGCAATTGCTGCTCACGGCTTTCGAATGTCATGTGTTTCAGACTCTACAAAAGCTGGTTTTGTTCTGTCAACTGAAACTTTCTTTCTTCCGGTTCTTCTTGACTGTGAAATATTTTTTTGCATCCCCACTACTTCATAAGGTCATTCATATGGGTGTTATAAAGGACATCTTACGGAGTGAACACGAACAACTAGCTCCATAAACGAGCTGTGCAGGTGTGCAGTGGTCTTCCTTAATTGTAGAACGTATGCTCAACAAATTCAAAGGTGAGAATTCATTTCATCTGGTTGCATATGGCTGTACCATCAGTGAACTTTTTAGTTGTCTGTGGAATCGTTCCATCAGTCTATTTGTTGCTGGATGGTATGTTGTAGTGATGTAATGGATTGTCAAAATGGGTGTAAATTCATTGAAGAGGTGAGATTGGAACTGTGAACCTCTATCGGAAGTAACTGTAGAAGGCACCCCAAAATTAGGAGTCCATCTGCCAAGGAATATAGTAATGATGTTTTCTCCTGAGACGTCTTTGTTTGGGCATGCAACTGGTCATCTGGTAAAACGGTCCACTGGAGAAAATAGTATCGAAGTTGAAATGTGATGAAGTATCGGCTAAAAAATTAGATTCACCTTTGGTAAATTGCATGTTGTTCGAGAATTAGTAACCGTGATCTTGTCTGAGGGTACTAAAGATGAAAGCAAAAGGTTTGTGATCATTGAATATCGCGAAATTTCTACTTTGCTGTAAGTGTTTAAAATGTTCAACCCCTAAGCAAATAGCCAATAATCCTCTACCAAAAGTGCTATATCGCGTTTGAGTTGGTTCTAGTTTCTTTGAAAAGAAAGCAGGTGGTTTGATTTAATTATTCGATTGTTACTGTGGTACCGCACCTTATGCTGTCTGGGACGCGTCTGTACACAGAATTAGTGATTCGTCCGGGTCAGGACTTAGGTAGGTCAGCATGTAGTAGAAGCGATTGCTGTTTTAGCTGGAAAAAGGATGTTTCACTCCGTAGGATAATGCGAACTTTTTGGCTTTGACTTTTAACACCTCCGTCAATGGTTTCAGAATGGCTGAGCAATGTGGGATAAAGGTACGATAAAAATTAATCCTCCACAAGAAACGTCGAAGTTTAATCCATGAATCTAGTCCTGGAAAATTTTTGATGCCTGCTATTTTTGTATCTAACAGTTTGATTCCACGAATGACTTAAAAACTCTATGCTCCCAACTCCGAAAACGCATTTGGAATGATTATTAACTGTGCCAAATCTCTGTAATCTTTCGAACAGTTGATATAGGTTCGTGGAGCGAACTGCTAGCTATTAACACATCATCAATATACACAAAAACAAAATCCAGGCCTTTAGTAACCTCATCCATAAATCGTTGAAATGTCTGTGCGGTGGTCTTTAATCTAAATAGCATCATCGGAAATTCAAACAAACCAAACGGAGTAATGATGGCTGTTTTTATTATATCCTTGAATGTCACTGGAATCTGATGGCACGCTCACACAAGATTTGTTTAAAAATAACTTGTTTTCCGTGTAGCCCAAGCGAAAAATCGTATGAATGTGGAATGGGGTAACGACCAGTTAACGTCAAGTTGTTCAGTAACGGATAATCACCATGGGGTCGCCAATCCCGGACACTTGTCATGCAAAAAGGCCAATACGTATCTTGATCATGGTGTTCAAATCACTCATGTAGGTCAACAATGTAGGTAATCTGTCTCTAAGATTCAGGGCTTGCTCAAATCAGCCGAAAATGGTTTGACTTCCTGACTTCCTGTCGAAGTTGTGCCTCGCGTTAATACGATTATGCTTTTGTGACAATCAGGTATCTGGCTGAAATAAATGTTCTCAGTAGGTAAAAACCATATATCAACACTAGAAGTTGACAGAAATACGGGGAGGAACCATTGCAACATACGTCTATCCTTGGCATGCATAAAGTTAGTCTACGTTGGTTCTCCCCAGCCTAAACGAAGTCTTGCAGGTTGTCCGACATTTGAAGCGCTCCTGTTGAATCATTTAGCTAGAGGCCACTGAAAATTGATAAGCCCTACATTTATGATAATTTTGGACACGACACGCCCACTTTTTTGTCTCACAAAACAGTGAACTTGCTTGGCAACCACAGGAAATTACACATATTCATAACTTATTACATGTCGCCTTACCATTGACTTCCCTATCCAATTATCAAATAACAAGACCCCTTACCACAACAGCTGGTTTTCACAATATCTTTCGGCCAATTCAAACGAAAGTCGTACCAACTAAGTAAAACTAATCCCTTGGACCAACACAGACCATCCACGAAATCATCTTCATCATAGTGAAACTGGGAAATGTTTTAGATGGATGTTTACAATGATCATGAGCAAAAGAGTATAGCGACAGAAAAGACATACGAACTTAATAGTAACCTTGAGAATGAAATGTCTTATTTGGAATATCTTTTCATAACTTGAACGTAGTCAGCAGATTCAAATTAGGATCAAACTAAAATGATGTCAATCCATTTGTTATAACTCAGTGTCACTTAATGGGTATATTAGTAGTTGACGTTCTTATACTGGACTACAGTTTTTGTTGTACTTTGCGGTGGCCTGTTGATTTTTGTTCCATAGCGCGTATTTCGTCCTACTGTAGGTGATTGTACTGAAAGGTTCGTTATGGGTTTTTTCGGAATCGTATCATTTGGATAATTATCAAGCATATGGTTATAGATAAGTAGTTGAGTCCATCCGCCTGTTTTTTTAATATTCCCTGAACTATGCTATTCACGAAAAAATTGTCAATGCGCAAATTGTTTTTCTTGGGATTGTATTTTGTGTTCCTTGTAACGAAAATTGCTTCACGTTACTTTCACGTAGCTAGTTCAAGCGCTCCGAATTATGACGAGCATCCATTATATCCAACTTTTGATCATTCAGTTGACCGAAATGACCAAAGAGGTTCTTGGATGAACAGAAAGTTGATGGGGATACAAGTTGTGCGTCCACACCCATCGTTAAACTGTACGCCTCTAGCAATCGAAAATTTCCCACGGGACATTTTTACACAGTCCCAAAGGCAATATGGAGCTGTTATAATCCATCTGGTTGTCTCAATTTATATGTTCGTTGGTCTAGCACTACTTTGTGATGACTACTTCATTCCTTGTCTGGAGAGGATTTGTGAAGGTTTGTTTAATTTTTCACGTTACATGTACTTTATAGTTCTACACCTCCAGCCTGATGTTGCTGGAGCTACGTTTATGGCTGCTGGAAGTTCTGCTCCCGAGTTGGCAACTACCTTAGTTGGAGTATTTATTGCAAAAGTGAGTTATTGGAACCTTTGTGGCTGTAGTCATGAGACATACCTTATGATCTTCATCCTACTGTTTCTGCAAGACTGACTTTGGAATAGTCACTTAACGACGGACTAGGCAAGTGGTCTCAGTACTTGGTAATGTACATTCTCTGTAGTCGTATTTGCAAACATGATGGTTTCTATTTACTACCAATCGACCCTAGTTTTTTACGTGAACAATTAGTTTGTTGGACTCTATGAGATCGGTCTCGAATGAATGTGCTGCCTCTAACATTATTATTCGAAACATATCCTTAATCCCATAACATTTTCATTAAAGATTATCTACTTTCTCATGTTTAATCTATTAGACCCAGACATCGATTGTGATTACAATAAATATGAATTTAAAAACTCACCATGAGGTATCAGTTAATTTAGCTTTCATTTACCAATCAATTAAACGTTTTACAGCAATTCAAGGGATATAGCCATATATTAGCAAGAAATCTTGAGAAATATATTTTATTCGGTGCATAGTTCGTAAAGTCTACACGTGATACTTTTACTAATTTTTTAGAAATTGTCTAGGAGCATTCAAACTAGAATTCTCTTCACCTTTTTCTGTAGCTGCAGTTTTCATGTTAGTTTATATAAATGTTTTTCGGAAAAAGATTCTGGTTGGTTGATTACATGAGTTTGGTGCTTTCGAATCTCCTGGATATTCGTTTAATTTGATGACATATTTCAGAGTTTTATGCTTATTAATTACGATCCTGATCTTACTGTACACTGATCATTATGTGAGTAGTTTGTTGTAAGTCGTGATAGTCTGTGGTTTCATAGTGTATCCTTAGCATAGTTCTTGAGATTATGGTGCTTTAGAATCTTGTTAATATAATAAAACCTCTATTTGTACAGTGACAGTTCATCTCACACTTTTAACTATTCGGTGGTGATTGTAGGTTAACAATTTACTTGATGTAAATTTTATAATAGCTGCGGTCATATCGTGCATTTAACCACTAATAATCTATAATCGATTGGTGCATATGTCCACTATTGTTTTGTGTTACTCTAGTTATATTAAGATTCTCATTGTTTTTCTTGTCGTTTTGGGTAGATTTTCCCGTAATTTTTATTCTTATAACTAAGTCAACACACTACTTCTTACTGTTTCTCTAAAAGATTGTTTGACCGACAATAAATCCATATCCATATCTTGTCTAAATACAGAGATTGGTTTACACAATACTCTTTAATCTTATGTGTTTTTTAAAATACTTTCGACAGGATGATATCGGTCTTGGAGCCGTTGTGGGTTCAGCTGACTTCAATATAATGTTGGTTGTCAGTGTTAGTGCGCTCTTCGCAAAACAGGTATTGTGTTTTTATATTTAACGTGTACTCATTAATTTTTTTGTGCGTCTGGTTCATTTTAATTCTATTTATAAATATGACATGTTTGAAATTGATGATAAATGTTAGACTACAAGCTAATACTATTTAGTATTACTCCTTAATTCGATTGTGCCTGAATACGCTCCTCAGCAAATTTTCACCGTGCGTGAGTGTTTAAATTATTTTTGTTTAAAGTGTATTGAGTAAACGTAGAGTCACATTTTACTAGTACTGTAGGGTTAGGGCCCTTCCGCCCTAGTTTGGTGCTCCTTAGCAGTGCAAATTCACGATCCAGCACGCGGGATTCGTACCCAGGACCTTCGGTCACGCGCACAAATGCTTGACCTCCATTGCTTTTAGGTTTTCGATGGTGGTCTAACACTGATCAATTCATGATCTCAAAATTTATATTTTGTTGTCATAGGCCAGTCTGTTACAAAGATTATTGCTTATACCTAGGTTGCACAACCTCCAATAAGTTGACAGACATCACCATTACCATCATGATATCTTTAATGTAGAAAACACAAATTTTCTATTTACAAAGGTTTAGCATGTTTTATTTGGTGTAGTGCATGTTAGATGTTCGAAACGAAATAGGAAATCATATTTGGAGAAATAGGACACAAACTATGTAATTACAATCATGGTTAGTGCTTATTTGTGTTAAAAGTATTTAGTCATCTCAACTATCGGGCAGGGTTACAATGAAGGACTTCATAATCATGATGGAATAACAAATAGTTGTCGTAGTAATTGTGATTGTAGTCAAATAATTTTTAGCTCTTACATGGTTTTGTTTGTTTCCGTTTATTAACTTGATGGTGGTCACAGATATACTGATTAGTTATCCTATTATTCACTATTTTTATTGTGAATATTAGTAACTATAACCTCACATCCTTTACTCGGAATGACTATTTTACAATATACAAATACTCATCTGTACTGAATATATTTAATATCTCGTGTCCTCTTCCTCTTATTATGATCCTATGTTTCGTTCCAAACATCCCTATCAACTTCACTGACTAAAATATGTCAAACTTTCGTTTATACTACTGTTTTTAGTTGTAGGCTGTTTACAGCTGGTGAGCAGCCTTGAAATGAGACCACTTGATTTTGTCGTTCAAATAGTTCTCTTGCTTTATCCAAATCTATCAAGAGATTACATCGTATGAGATAATTTTTTATGACCCAGAAAACCTGTCTTTTATGTCAGCATTTCAGGTGTCTTTAAAAGACCGTGTTTTTTTCGAGTAATAGACAGTTGAATAATCAATATTTCTTCGATGTAGAGACTAACAATACTGCTATGTAAATTAGAGCGCCAAACGACGTTAGTTTCGTTATAACTTGAATTTTGTGAGAATAAGTATGTTGAATTAACTTCTAAGTGGTATAAATGACGGAACCTACTCAATACGTCTATTTGTATATAAAACCAAAATATCACCAGACTAACACATATAGTAACTGTTTTCAAGGTGTTATTAATAAAAAAGACCATTAAGCTTCACATTATAAACGTCGATAAATCCATCATGTGCAAATATTCCTCATTTCCATTTGAGTACTTATATCTGTTCAGATCTGTTAACGAAGTTGGTTAGTTATCATGACTCTTTCTTTTCGGCTTGCACTAGGATGTTATTCTGTGTTACATTCGTATTATTTAATATATCCATTGCCCTATACTACTGGTAACTTTGGAATTGTATTGTTTTATGTGTTTACATTTACATAAAATACTTAATGCGATATAAGCGATAGACCTGATCAAACATATATAACATCATGAGGTCAAAAAAACAGTAGATATAATAATGCAGTCTTTGACATTTAGGTGGAAATCGGTCGCACATAAAGCCTATCGTATCGTAGTCTATATATGGTCATATACAGATTGAATTCCACATATTGGACACTAGACTAGCTAGTTTCAAGACCTATAGGGTTCGTAATTTCATTGATATCAAGCCCAATATTTGATCGTCAGATTGGATACATAATTTCAAGTTCTTTCCATTCTGTTTTCACCATAGTCAATGAATCGCTTTCATAAAAGCAAATACATAACACGAATAATTTTGGCATTTTTTAAAAGTCATACTTCTATAGGAGTTTTAATAACTTGATTGGAGCATTGGTCAATTATTTTGTTCTAATTTAAAACGTCAGTCGTATGACATCCATAACGTCACAATGAATGTCACCTTCAAAAATTAAATATTTCAATTCATATATATTTTTTTAATGGTATTACGAAAGCTAATCTTTCTGCTTGGTAATTGCTGAACACAAGGAAAAGCCTTTGAAAGGCTTGATGCTTAAAAATCTTCGTTTTCATCATCTGGTTTATATTCTTTTAGTATCAGATAGGATTTTATAGATATTATATTAATTTTAATAGTTGTGATCATGAGTCAATTGAAGCTAGACCACCATCAGAAACCTGGAAGCACTGGACGGCCGTTTCGTTCTATTGTGGGGCTCATCAGCAGTGCGCATCCACGATCCCGTCTCGTGAAATTCGGACCCAAGACAAGTGTTTCCAGGTTTTCCATGGTGGTCTAGCTTCAATTGACACATGATCTCAACCATTAAAATTATATTTCTTTGTTGAGATATTTCTCAATAAAGCTATTAATTTCAATAAAGGAATGTTATAATCAAATCTGTTAGTTACTGGTCTGTTCGTTTTTGATTGACTTACTTCAGTCATAACATTCTCGTTTCTATTTATATTTCATGACTAAGTGCATTCTTACCTGCCATTTATCTCGATATCTCTCGTTCTTACCGAAACAAGCTTGTATTGTATTATAAATATGAATATGTTCGGTTTTATTATCCTTGTTTACTTCATAGGTGATTTATCTTAATTGGTGGCCGTTGGTGCGTGATTCCGCTGTTTATCTATTATCTATCATACTCTTGGCATTGGTTATTTATGACGAATTAGTCTATTGGTAAGTCAGGGATTTTTTCTTGATATGAAACGAACTGATATTCTTTATTGAATTTCTGCCATCGTATTTCATTAATTATGTTAAGGATTAGTGAATGTTGTAGGATAGAGATACTGTTTTATTTCCCTGCATATTTGAGTATATGTACATATGTGTGTGTGTATTTGTGTTTGTTTAGACTCGTGCAATAAAGTTTTCCACTGACTTTTTTCTTCATTTTAAGTTAATTTGTCATTGTCGTTCGATCAGTTTTACTTTCAAAGTTTGGATATAGTAAACCCTCAGCACGGGTTCGAAAAGCTCGATTGGCTTTTGCCAACTTGCGTCACCTATGGCGAAGGCGAGATATCCGTCTATCAATAAAAGGACGAGTATACTGCGCGGCAGTTCGTTCTGTTTTAATTTACGGCAGCGGAACATGGCCCTTAAGAGTAGAAGACACCCGTAAGCTACTAGTATTTGACCACAGATGCCTTAGAAATATTGCTGGCATCTGCTGGGATCACCGGGTAAGTAATAGTGAGGTTAGACGCAGGGTATTAGGGAATGGTGGTAAATCAGTTGATGAGGTTATGAATCTTCATCGACTGAGATGGTTGGGCCACGTGTTACGTATGCCTGAACACCGATTACCACGACGTGCAATGCTAACCGGTGTAGGGGATGGTTGGAAGAAAGTTAGGGGCGGCCAAACCAAAACGTGGCATCAGTGCTTGAAGTCACTAACTTCTAGTCTGAGCCATGTTGGTAGATGCAGACTACTTGGTTGGGGTCCGCGTGACTATCGTAACCAATGGTTGGAGACTCTTGGTGACATGGCTCAGAATCGATCACAATGGCGTCGGTGTATACACTCCCTGTCTTCCCTTAAACTAAGAGATTAAAATCGCTTCATATCTTTCTTTCTACGAACCAATTCTTTCTTCTTGTACTATATCTCTATATGCAATCTTTCTCTTACCTATTACTACCTATGACCTAACCACTGCTATGAATCCGGTGTTCATCTTGTTGTGCTGATGCGGTATGGCAACCTGGACCGATGCACATATGTGCCTGGTCCTACGTTGTAGCTGACTGACTCCTTATAAATAAATAACTCGGTTGAATTTTGTTGACTACTATTTCTATGAGTATCATCATTCAATATGGACTATTTGATTGTCAGTGACTTTAGATTTACTTTCTTCTACTACAATTTATTAATTTAATATTGTAGAGATTGGGAGGTTTTGATGGAGTTTTGTTCTCTGAGCTGAATGGTTTGGTCGTGAAGCTTTCATCTTTCTCCTGAACAACATCATCAACACAAACTTCAGATAGAAGTGATGTGTTCTAATTTCTCCACATATGGTTTACAGCTTGTCCTGTACACTTCGTTGTCTATTGGTTCTTTATGACCTTAAACCTGCCATTGTTTACTTCTTTGTTTTGGTTGTATCTCCCATTGGTTTGATTTTTGTTCCTTTGTTTGTGCATAATTATGCATATGTGGAGAAATTCGAACACTTCACTATTACCTGAAGTATGTGCTGATGGTGTCGTTCAGAAGAAAGATGAAAGCTCCATGACCGGCTCAGAACAAAACTCCATCAAAATCATCCACCTGAGCTGCAAATCTTATCCACCATCTTAAGATTAGGAGATTTATGCAATGAAATGAATGTAAATCATATGTTCTATATAATAAGATTGTTTTTAAGATCATTTAAAGTTCAACACTTAAAAATGAGTTCAAATACACTATCTATTTCGATGTGACAACTCAAAATTGATTACAGTAGCCAAGATACATTCACTCGTTGTCTTCTCTTAGATTTCAAATTCCAGTATTCCTTCATACATACCTTTTCATCCCGTCTTATCGAACCATATTCTTAATGTTTAGTTTCATTTCTAACACAGTTATTACAGCTTCTTTGTTACTCATTTTAATTTCATCTGTTTGTGTTGTTTTAATATGGCAACTTGAAGTAACACGTTATTTGTTTATTTTGTTCAGTTCGATTAGCCTAATGAGATTAGTCCAATGTTATGATCTGTGACCGTTCAAGTGTGTTACTGATATACATGTTTGAGTTAGAATAACGAAAGTGATTCAGAAGCTTAGGCAATTTAATCCCAATTGAAAACATGCATAACTTATTCCTTAGAAGCTTAAACTAGATCTTGATCACTAGCATCTCACTCTTACCAGTTGATCTTGAACTGAACTGTCTGGCTTACTTAACTTATCATTTCAGACATTTCAGTGTATCTCAGCTTACTTGATTCAGTTATAATTTCAGTAAATTTCTCGGTTTATTTTCAACGTATAAAACATAACTGATATTTCACAGCTCAAAAATGAATTTTATCAGTTAGTTTGTTATTAGTGATTCTGTAAAATCATAGGTTCATGTAGATTTTTGTGTAAAACGAGTGCGTTAGTTTCAAATGTGACTCAATTCATCAATCAATAATCTCATCCATTTTTTGTTATATCTCTTTCCTATTTTATAGTTTGGCGATTCATTTTACAAATGTCTCATCCAAGATTATGACTTTCTAGAACTGATTTATGTACTTTCAAGTTTTTATCTGAGCTCTTTTGAATATATGGCAGAAAATTATAGAATGTTCATGTTAGGATCAGTATCCAATTACGTAGTTCAAAACACAAGATTGACCTTACGACTATTAGTGAATTGACTTCACATGGTGAATCAGTTTTACGCTCAATTGTATTAATTAGAATTCCTTATATCAGAAAAAAACTGATGGAATTTGATTTATGTTCGGTAAAAATATGTTATGAAATTTTTTGCCTGCAAAATGCGTACTAAGACTTGTCCTCGTAATTATGTTCTATACCTGTAGTAAATGTCTTAGATCCATGATATACTGCTTTTTCCAAGATCATCGTAGGCAATATCAGTGATAACTTGTCGAGTTCTTTAATTTATTGAGTTTGTGGTTATATGCAACAGTATTGAATTTCTCATCAGTATCAGCGAAAAATAAATCAGACGAACCCCCAAATGCCCTGGTACGGTCGAGTGTGGGGAGGGTCAGCTCTCTCTCGAAATGTCCTCACATGGCCACGCGTATACGGCCGCTGCCAAGGAAGTCCTATTCACGGCATTACTGTTTTTCACGAGATTAATAGGACGAAAAGCGAATGTTCGGCGCTTTAACCGGGTTGGTGGACACGGAGAATCCACCTAGGGGTAGGGTAGTTGGAAAACCCTCATTCCAAATCAATGGTACACATGGTCTCCAGTTTCATGAAGGAACAAATGGTGTATGAATCAATTATTAGTCATCGGCTACTATGGGACTGCATCTCTTTACGATGCTCCACTGTCTTGTGGATCAGACCTTTAGGTCGAAGGCTCAGGGTGTGGCTCCCTAAGAAAACCACCTGTTTCGGTCTGGGAACCCGAGCAGTATAAGAGTTCTCACACAAATCGAGTGACTTGTGTGGCGCATTTGTATTCGGTGCCCCTTTGTACCAATATTTATGTGTTCAAATAAATAAGTAAATAAAATCAGACGACACTACTTTTTGCTTATTTTAGCACAGGACTTGTAATATTCATTGCTTGAAATCTCCTCATCTTTGATCAGGGATTAGTTTAGATGTTTTGGTTTATTGTGCTGCATCAAAGTTGATCATATTCAAAATAATACTTAATGATTGATTATTGTGTTCTTATGATCGAATTAAGCAATCTTTTTTTATTAATCCTACAATTAAGATAACAGCTTATTCCAAATGATTATAATTCCAATTAGCTTAAATGAAATATGAATTCTCTGGTTTTTAAAACGTTAGATACTATATACCAGAAGTGAGATTTTCTATTATCTCAATACGCATTGTATCATTCAAATATACCCTTACATATATATCAGTAAATAAATCAACTGTAACGGTCTCCATACTTAAAAAACCCTGTTATTATCGTCTATAGGTACTGGTACAATTCAATATTACTATTACTCTCTCAAGGTGATCTCGAGCACTGTCCAATATATAAGAGCGATTGTCTATTCCCAATGATCTACCGTGAGAGGATACCTCTTGATGAACGTACAAAAGAAGCTAGGTTAGACATGGCCTTAATAACTCGGAAGCTTGATGGCAGTATCCAGGGCACAATCACTTGGCGCCATTCATACACCCTTTTTGTAAATAGCTTTAGATGTGTTAGCTCTGTACATATAAGATATTACCCTTGGGGAACCGTTTGGTAAGATGATATGTGTTATTTCTGGGGTCGATCTTTTTAACTTTTCTTTCGTTGTGAAAAGACACCATCACTGGGAATGCTGGTCATCCGAGGGGACCGCGTTACTGCGATCATATCCTTGTATAGTTAGTCATACGACTTTGTTCTTGAACGTTGAGTTCGCTGCTTTTAATCTAACTACTCTTCAACCGACGTACCTGGTATGATAGGATTGAAAAAAGTGTTTCAGCCAATATATCTCGATTGTTTTATCATGGTATGTAGTCCAAACTGCCACATCAGGTTAATCTGTTACAGTTAGATGCGATCCCCCAATCCTTTTGAAATATAATGTATAGTATCAGGCTACATCGACCGTCTTCATTATTCCCCTTCTGTATTATTATTATTACTATTATTATTACTAATTATTGACTATTGTTGTTATTATTGTTATGAAACAGGTATGAGTCAGGAATATTTATTATTGTCTATGGATTATATGTATTATTAATGTACTATAATCCACGTATTGATGCATTTTGGCGTATTTGGTGTCGTGAACATCCAACATTCTGTCCACGTGCAATACATTCAGATCAAGGAATTCCTGATCAAATTCAACAACATAGCGGTGCATTTGGACATTTTGATATTGACAATAAATCATTACTGCCTAATCCAATTTGTCATGAACCACCGAATATTAAAACAGGCTATAAACGTTTTGAAGGGGATGAAGATAATTTTCCCTCAGAAAAACCAGGTTACTATTTCCTTACTGTTTTTTTTCTTCATAAAAATTATAAACCCAAAGATAAATCAAAGATTTTTTTCTCTTCAAAAATTATCTTGAATAGTTTAGAAACTTAGATAATTCACAATTTTAAACAATAAGAGATTAAGAATAAATGTTCGTTTGGTTAAGGTGCTTTTGATAATCCGACTATTGTTACGTAAATGGAAATATCAAACCAACAATAGACAAACTTGTACTACACCCCCAAATGACCGATAACTAAGGCCCATCCTTACTATTGAAGAGACAAAATAAACTTGAAATGTTGATTCCATGCTCTAACCGACGATTAATACAGCGGAAAAAAGTACGGGAATGTGTCTGACAAAATCTCTGCACCGATTCAGAAAGCTTATTTGACTTTTGCCAACTTATGTCACCTATGGCGGAGGCGATATATTCGCCTATCAATTATGGGACCAGTATAGTGTGCAGCAGATCGTTCTGTTCTAATTTACGGCTGCGAAACATGGCCACTGAGAGTAGAAGATACTCGTAAGCTACTAGTATTTGATCTCAGATGTCTTAGAAATATTGCTCGCATCTTCTGGGATCACGGGTGATTAATAGTGAGGTTAGACGCGTAGGGTATTAGGAATGATGGTAAATCAGTCGATGAGGTTGTAAATCTTCATCAACTGAGATGGTTGGGCCCTGTGTTACCTATGCCTGAACACTGACTACCACAACGCGCAATGCTGACTGGTGTTCGTACTGGTTGGAAGAAAGTTAGGGGCGACCAAATCAAAAACGTGTCGTTGGTCCATAACGTTATTAACTTATAGTCTGAGCCATGGTTGGAGACTGTGAGTGACACTTTTCAGAATCGATCGTAATGGCGTGTATGTATACACTCTTTGTCTTCCTTAAACTGTGAGTTTAAAATTGCTTTATATCTTTGTTTCTGCGAACTACTATTTTCTTCCTGTATTATATCCTTATACATAATCATTCTTTTATATATTACTATCATTGATGTAGGCAGTTTTATAGATTTGGTGTTCATGTTGTTGTGCTAATGAGTGAGGTGTGGCAACTTGAATCGATGCACATATGTGCCCGATCCCACGTTGTAGCTGACTGACTGGACAAATATGACAACGAACTTTTCAGTGACCAATCAATTTAGACAGTTTTTCTATCACAGGGCTACTGAAGACTCATTATATTTCATTCCAATACAAATCTACTACACCGATCATTGGTCGGTGAAATAGATTCTTTCAACATTTTCATGTCTACCAGTGAACATGACATCATCATTCAGTTGAGTTGATGAGAAATAGGTGCTTTTGGTGTGTGTTTTGATTTTTCTTTCAATGAGTCTAACTGATATTTACCTTTGATGAAAACTTTGCACGTCAATCAGTTCTTCGGAAGCCTTTTCACTGAATACACTTCAGTATACCTTTCATAAACCTCAGTTGCTTTCGTTTAAAAAGTCCTCAACATCTCTCTTAGGATTTTATAAATGTAAAAAAAGCAATAATCTTTTCTCTGTTATTGTTTCTTCTTATTTAGACTATACAACAGAGAAATTTGAAATTATTGGTAGCGGTTTAGTCGACCAACAATCACACCGTGATACCAACACCACTAAATTGGATGATGTTGAAACACAAGTTCGTTCAGGTGATTCTATTGAGTCATGGTTTGACACTTGTTTTGCTCCGCTCAAATTACCCGGTCGTGAAGGTGTACGCGGTAAAATTCGTTATGCATTTTGTGCATTTTTATGGCCATTACGCTGTGCTTTATGCTTAACTGTACCAGATGTACGTAAGACAAGATGGCGACAAATACCTGCTTCTCATTGGCTATCTTTCTTGATGTGCTGTTTTTGGATTGGTATATTTACCGTGATTATGATGTGGATGATCACAGTAATTGGTAAGTGTTTACAACTATTATTTTCATTTTGCTGGATTTTCCTTAGTACATATAGGACAATTCTAGTGAATTCTGAGTAAGATTTTGGGGAAAAGGATATGTGAATAAACTTATTTTTCTTGAAGTATACTTATGAACTGATGCAACTCACGTACCTGGTAAATGTTTATGATCTTAGCTATAAAAGCCAATAATGCTGCCCAAATAGAAACGGTTACGGAGAAGGAAGGGCATGTAAACTATTGGTTGAACTCCGAGAGGAATAACAACACATTGGTCCGTCACTATAGTTTCTTTTTAAAGAACTTGCACAATTGTAGTCAATCTTGAAGTGTTATAATTGACATGTATCTCTCAGAAGATATTAGTGATACATACCCATTCTTAAGCTTTTGTATGTGAATCGGATTTCGGAAACAGAATAATGGTTTACTGGTTAAAGGATGTAATTTTCAATAGATAGACTTCATTTTTAAATTCAACATCATTTCAGTTTTATTAGTCCAATAAATTCTAACACTGACCTAAACATTTCACATTACAAATTTTTGTTGCTCAAAACTGAGTATAATAAACCTTGTGTCTAGCAAACGAATTACATTTGTAAGTTGCGATTGTCAAAAATTGACTTCAGGATACTGGTAAAAACATCAGACAGATGTTTCATCCTAATATGGTATTCCTTAACAGTGAGCATCGGCAACCCAACCACGGGTCGAACCAATGATCCTTAGGTTGTAAGAATTCTCATACTAAGACGAAACAACTGTTCATTGCTTTTTATTTTCCAATGATACCTTAACTGATGATCAATCTATGAGAAATACTACCTACAAATTGAATAAAACTTCATAAAATCCCTTCAAATCAAATGAATTACATAACTTTCTTTCAAATATGCGTAAACAATTTGAAAGGTACATGGAGTTATTAAATTTTAATTCATTTCATTGATTAGCAACCATCAATTTTTTTATCATTATTGTCACCTACTACTTATATACTTATACTTCAATGGTATAGGAGTAGGTTGGAAGAAAGTTAGGGGCGGCCAGACTAAAACATGGCACAAGTTCATGAAGTCAGTGATAAGTGGACTGAGTCATATTGGTAGATGTAGACTACCTGGTTGGGGACTGCGAGATGATAGCAACCGATGGTTAGAGACCCTGAATGACATGGCTCAAAATCGTTTGCAATGGCGCAGGTGCATCCACTCTTTGTGTTCTCCCAAATTCGAATCTCCTGAATCCTCCTTGTCTCTTTTTTATTTTCCTAAATTTATTTCACTGTATTATACTCTTTAAATAACATCTCCAAACCCTAATCTTCCCGATTACTGCTTATACTCTTATTACCTCTACCACTATGGGATTTGAATCGAAAACTGCATCTCTGTGCTAATGTGGTGTGGTAACTCGAATTGATGTACGTACGTACGAAGTTCTACGTTGTTACTGACTGACTGACTTATATTACTGTTACTGTCGCATTTTTCATTTTCCTCCCCTCCTACATTTTATTAATCGATTCATGTTTCTCATTCACCTTATCCGATCAGTTAATTATTATTTTTTTCTAATTGGAAAAATTGTTTTGATCATAGCAAAGGAAAATAGAAAGAGAAAAAAGGTTAACACCAATATAAACTTCTCATATTCATAATGAATATTTATTAAGGGTTACTAATATATAATGATTTAGAAGTAAATCTTTCCTGTGTTTCATTGACCGTAAATTGGTTTGATTGTCAGAGTTTGTGATTGTAACTAGGTGTTAGCGGGACATAGACTGGATTAAAGTATGCTTAATGCATGATTGCTTTGGTGCACGCTGATTGGCTAATTCTTATCCAATCAACACTAGCCGATACTTGGAGAATACTCTAGAATCTTCTCATGTAAAAACTATAAATATACTAACGTTTTCCCTATTGTACTTCTTACTTGCTTCTTACTTCCATTTAACCTTGTTATTTGGAATATAATCTCTTTCCTGTTCAACCGTGTTTTGATTTGGGGACTTGTCGAGTGAATCGGTATCCGAGAATACTAAGCAATAGGAATAGCTTGGTCTTAACCTGTAAGGGAGAAATATAAAGTGTTTTACAATGTGTATACATGTATATCCCCCTTTTTTAACGCTTAGAATAATCATCGGGTATGGATTGATAGAACTCGTTGATTACTTCACTTTTCATCATCTCGGCTAAACTAGTGGCTAACGAAATCTGGTTAGAATAAACGTAAGGGTGATCGAACCAAGATATGGAATTAACCCATGAATACACTAACTACTAGTCCGACTCTTGTAAAGAGGTACTAAATTTCTGATTGCTTTCCATTTAATAAGCCTAATCGATAGTTCGTAAACTTGATGGGGTAGTTGCATTCATTCTTTATATCTATGAACAACAGGACGCATATAATTTAACACTTCTTTTTTCATTGTTTTGAATCTATTTCTTTTTTCTACTATTAATTTCATTAAGAGTAATATGTTGGTTGATAATTAACTGGCCAAGGATATATATAGGGTTGCTTAATATTTAATAAGGCCATTAACTCATGAAACCTTGTTATCTATTGCTCTTAAGTATATCGCTTGTAAATTATGCACTTGATCTGCTTGCCCCTAACGTTGTAATTCAGTCATTTTGTACTCGTTATATTGGCGAATTATTAGCACTGACAATGTGTATGAGTCTCTTAAATATTTGAAACCATATCAAATTATAAATTAATCATTTCCTAGAATTTCGTCCATTTATCACTATTAAATTCATCAGTTGGTTATTTTTCAATAACAACAAATGTTGATACGGCCGAGAGTGGGAAGAGTTCGCTCTCTCTCTCGAAATGCTCTTATATGGACACGAGTATACAGCCACTGACAGGGAAGTACTACTCACTCACTGCCTTTTCGAGAAGACGAAAATTTAATGTCCGGCACTTTAACCGGGTTGGTGGATATGGAACTTCCACCTAGTGGAGTTGAAAAACCCTCATGGGTTACAGGGTCTAGAGGGAACAAAGGGCGTATGAACCTATTGTTGGTCACTGGTTGCCATGTGACTGCATCTCTTAACGTTGCTCCACTACCTTGTGGATTAAACCTTTAGGTCAAAGGCTCCGAGTGTGCCCCTCTCCTAAGAAAACCACCTGCTTCTGTCTGAGTGCATGGGTAGTATTCCAGCCTTCACGCTAATAGAATGATGAAGTGTGGTGTTTGTATATTCGGTGCCACTTTGTACCAATATTTATGTGTTGAAATAAGTAAATAAATAAAAAGGACAGTATTAGGAATATATTTCGACATGTGAACTACTGTATTCCAGTTCACTGATCGTGAAGTTGAGGATTCACCACAAGGTCAGAAAGGATTTGGTCCGATCTCCGGTTGAATTATGTATGTAGACTGATGACCACCGTCTAATTCTAGGATGAAACGATTGTCTCTATTACATCCCAGCTTTCAATACTTAAGCTCAGACTATAATGTTAATGACAAATATGTTAATAAAAGTCTAGAAGAATTCCAATTAGTCTGTTTGTTGTCATTATTATCTTCATTATCAATTTGATTAGTTGATTTATGTTCTCCAAATACAAATATCAACTACTTTTCACTCTTTTACAATGCCTAAATCATTAAAAGCAAAATTATAGAACATGAATACAGGGAGACTAGTCTTAATGAAATAGACATAATAACTTATAATAACGCTTATTATCATTATATAAATAAATGATAGTAATAAAATCAAATCAATAAAAGTTATGAATAGGATCTTTTTTGAGTTCGCTTATACTAACATACATCAATACTTGAATACATTACAGTTTATCATATAATATAAGTCTACTTCTCAATGAATATATGTATACAAGTGTAGCTATACACGTAATATAGAGGTGTGTACATCTAAGTAGTATATGTATGTATATACATATTCTAAAACTGGACATAGAATAAGGAAATGATACCAATAATAGTATATTTTTGTAAGAAGTGGGTGTATTTTTTCCCCCAAAAAAGTTAGAAGTATATTTTCTATCTGTGTAATGGTAACAGAAAGGGAATGGACTTTTTTGTCGCGTGAGTTTGTTTTATTTTTCTCCCTAAAATTAAAAATGAATCTTACTATTGTTATGATATTAGACTTTTTGTACAGTAATAAGACTGTATATATATATTATTGCTACGTACAGGTGAAGGTTTCATATGAGACTGGAGGTTCACCATTGATATTGGTTCAGCATTACTTTGGGAAGTTTTTCTGTCTGTTTTATGCGTAAAATTGGTTTGCTGGTTAACTGATTTCATTCATACTGGTGGTTACTTTTCAGTGTTCTCAAGGGCCATTATCATTGGGACATTGTAAGGTATGTCGTCATTGCTAACACCAATGAGTTTGACTGTCGTGTAAAAGCGTGATAAGTCAACTTTTGCTTGTTCGTGCTGTGCATAATTGATTCACGCGATCATTGATGGAAATAATTATACATGAAATTTGAATGTGTATATGAATGGTGCGAATGATCCACCAGGGTGCTTGGTGCCTGTGTAATTGAGCTGTACTATTCAGATTGTAGCGTTAAAGCTAATATGGTGTCTGGTCCTCCTGTTAAATGGGATTGAGCTGTACTGTTTAGGTTGTCATGTGAAAGTCTGGATGGTGTCTGTTCCTCCCGAAAACCAATGTGAAATAACCCTGGCTCACAAGGGTAGATTATATAACTGTGAATAACAGTAACAAAACTTGGCCGTATAGTGAATAAACTGTTAGTATATTCAACTTTCAGTTATTGTTTTTTTTTTTCATTTGTAAGTTCAAGCTACATTTACGCGATGATACTCGTAATGGATCGTCAAATATCCTTGGTGATGAAAACTGATTGTAGGAGCAGTGATATGCTAATTCTCGATACATCGGGCACATTGAATGGTGTTGAAACTGACTTCTTAACTGCTTCATATACCTTTATACTCTTCGATTA